AGGCCCACACTGCCTTGTGAATCCACAGTGTCAGGGCAGCACCTGGGCAGGAGGTTCAGTGCTTCTCCATAATCAAGTTGAAGGCACTTGTCACCTTCCAACAAGCTCTTCCTCTCATGACAGTTTTCCTCATTTGTCAGTGGATTTGATTCTAAAAAAAAAAAAATACTTATCTTGTACCTTTATGTATAGAAAGGTATGACAGAAATTTATTTATCATCATTTTACTATTATGAAGGTCACATAAGTACAAAATGGATACAAGGTGTTTTAAGGAACTCTTTCTATTTGAACATGCTGGGCTAGGTTTTTTTTATCACTAATCTATATTTATTGATAATGCTGATGCTATTTATTTTTAGTAATATTAATTTTAATTTAATAAGATTAAATAGATCAGGTATTTATATCTTCTCTTATTTAAGAATATTTAAGACAGCGTACAATAAAAGACAGATACAAATAAATAGCTGATACAAAAAAATAAACTTCTAAGTCACATTTATTCCTTTAATCATTAGGCATTTACTTTGTTCACTTTAATTCCAGGGACATAATAATGAAGATGATAGAACTGGTCCCTGCCCTGAAGAACCTGAGAGTCTAATTGGGAAGACTGACAATCATTGGATTTTATGAAGTATGGAAAAATAGGGGATGTGTAGGAAGAGCCAATTGGAGGACATTTGGGCAGAGAAAGTCTCTCTGTTAAGAGCCAGTAATTCTGAACCTGATGCTTATCATATATTTCTAGAGCTTGGGAGCTTAACATGTCATGCAAAATATACAAAATTTAAAATAATTAAATATCATTTAAGATAATAACAGCAGCTAACCAATACAGGCTGGCTATTAATAGCCAATGAGAGCAAGCTGTTATTTTGGTTTTAAGGAACTTGTCACCTTATTTCTCTATATTGACATTAATGTGTGACAAGCATTACAGAACATATTTAGTAATTTTACAAGGAAAAGTAAAAGGATTGTTGAAAAATGAGGAAATGCTGCCATAGTGGCAACAATATAATATTTTGTGTAAGGAAAATTATTTTTTTATGTTGTAAGGATATACAAATTTAACAAATTAAAAGAGGCAAAAATCAATGTAACTGTTAGATCTAAATTAATGAAAATTAGTATATTTGTGTATATAATTCACTTATTTGAATAACAAAGATTTATATTTTAAAAATAATTTGTTTTTTAAAAGTCACACATATCTGAGATTTTGTTCAGAGAGACAGCTTTGGGTATCTTTTTTTTTAATATTTATTTTTCAGCTTTAGGTGGACTCCATGTCTTTATTTTATTTTTATGTGGTGCTGAGGATTGAACCCAGTGCCTCACACATGCCAGGCGAGCGTGCTACCACTTGAGCCATATCCCCAGCCAGCTTTGGGTTTCTTAATGAAATATGTTTAAAAAGTCTAGCAATTACAAACCAACCAAAAGAAAACAAACAAAACAAACAAAAACAGAGCTGAAAGTTTTTTGCCAAGCACCAAACTTTCATTTTGAGAACAGCCTAGTGGTTATAGTTTCACTTAATATTTAGAGAGGGGAGCTTCAAAATGTGGTTTAAGACTTTGAACCATCAAATCATATTTGTGATATAATGATAAATTTTTATTATTAAAATATGTATATTGCGGAGATACATGTGTGACACTGGGTTCGATCCTCAGAACCACATAAAATTAAATAAAGGTATACAAAAAATGTTTAAAAATAACATGACTATTCATTACATCAGTGTTACTGTCTGTGACAAAGGACATTTGCTTAGTCCTGTGACAGCAAGAGGTCCTGTTTGCCTGGGCCTCTTGGAATGGGCCACCTCACCAGGCAACTACTTTGCAGTGTGGCAAGAGGACTCCTTGCTATGCATGGTCTGGCCCTAGCTTTGTGCTTTGTCTAAGAAGAAGCTGGAAGCCACCTGGATCAGAGCCAAGTCTTCCTGCTCATCTTGATAGGCACTCACTGTGGTGTCCTGCTACCTGTCAACCTAGCTAAGCAGGAAATGTGTTTCTGAGAATTCCCTTTGTGGTATGTACGGTTCTGGGTTGGCTTCGAGTTGATCACAGGGAGAAGAAATGCAAAAAATATGAAGGGAAAATAAAACCCCTGCGTTGTTCTGAAATCATCATTGATTGAAGCTGTGACACGGAGGACCAGAGGTGCTGGGCTGGGTGTGAGGCCCTGGGTTGGATTCCCAGCACTGAAAAATAAGAGAATAAAGGGTGCCAGTGGTTCCAGTGTGCAGACCTTTCCCCACTCCACATATTGCTGTCCATGCTGACACCAGTCCTGCTAACCAGTTCTCAGCCCTCCCTGAGAACTCATGGGACAGTGCACACAAAGAGCCAGCCTTATTCTATGGATTCCAGCCCCTGCCTCTTTCAAGGTCTATCCAGGGCTTTCATGTACCTAACTCATCCCAAGCTCCATTTCATCCCCCATCACCAGACCTAATTAGAATATTTTTTTTCCTAACTAGTTTTTGACCTTTCCTAACCTAGTTTCTCCTCAAGTTGTGTCAGGTCTGATTCCTATGATAAATTTTTTATTTTTTCATGCTTGTACAGGTTGATTTCAGTGTCATTATTGACACTGCCATACATAGTATCAATTAACCACAGGCCAGGCCAAACACGTTGTCAAAACCCAGTACATTATTAGTGCTTATTTTTAGAGTATTTCAGTGTGACTTTGGTTTGTAATTTTTTCTGCTTTTTATCCTTCTTTTTGTCTTCTTTTTATCTTTTTCTTGGTTTCTGGGGAACTTTAATGTCCACATGAACCATTGGGTAAGCAGAAAATAGTTAAGAATAAAAGCTCTGGGATTACGGGACATCAGCCCAAGAAAAGCCCTCTGATAGCCCCTAACAGGGTTCTGTATCTTTGCCCATGACATATCTGCTGCCAAGAATCAAAGACCATGAAACTAGGAATTGTGTTCATAGGGCAGAGGTAAGGCGTGATCTATCTCTCTCTGCTCTGAGCTGGTACATGATTAAGATTTGCTTGAGGAAAATGGCAAGTGTAGATGATGGTAAGTGTCCCCTATGGACACACTTAGTGGTAGCTGAGCCACCATGGTTTTGCTCCCTGGTTCTCACTAGGCAATGCTCTTCATTCTCTGTTTTCAAGTCTTCAAATCCTCTGTAACCCTTCATGTTATTTGTTTTTCTCTTGTTTTTTAAATGATAGAATTCAATCAATCTTGCTGTGATTCAAAACCTGCAGGCATTGCTTGTTAATGTGTGGTATTTGCTTAATACTAAACTGTGACCTTTGGAAACATTCTTCCCTCGGTGCACACAACAATATGCAAGACAGATGCTCAGTCATTTCCTTGTCCTGTCTCTTCACATGTTTCCTGGACACATTTTCTTCTAATAAATGGTGCTAATATATTTTGTTCACTCTTTATTGCATCATGCAGATTTGTTGGTCTGTGACATTTTTCCTTTCTCTTAGGAAATTATCTCTGCCTTGATTGTTCTACTTTTTATTAGCTATCTTCTGACAGCACTTTCTAGGTCTGCCAGCTATGTAATATGAAGTCTTCCTTACAGGCTACCTTCTGCCTTCTCACACTATGGAGCGCTATCTCAAGAGCTGTTCAGCAAAACCTTCTCTAGTATGTTTGATAAGCTGTGTAGCTGCAGAGGGGGTTCCCTGCTGTGCTCTCTGGCTCTCCTGCTCCACCATCAACAACACACAGGAAATTCAGCAGTGGATCCTTCTATGAACCCCTCTCTCTACCTGGTTGCCTCATGGTTTCTCTTGATTTGAGGGTCCAGCATGTGGCAAGATGGTACTGAACAGTCATAGAGAGCCAGTTGCCAAAGGACAGACCATAGAAATGTACAGTAACGTGTAGGATCACCTACAGATCTAGCTGTGGGATTTCACATAGATTCAGCAAGAACATCTGGCCACCATGGAAGAGTAAGGCAAAGATCTAGGTCTTCAAATATTTGGGGAACTTTCTATGTCAGTTGATCACTTTATTCCCATTTTTCTAGGTCAAGACAAACAACTCCAACACTCTACACACAGATTCTTGTCTAGAAATTCTGTCCCCAAACCTATGCTCTCAAGTTCTCATTCAGAGGAAACTGTGATCTTCCCTCCCCCAGGCTCCTCCTATAGGGCCCCTGGGGTCTGTGAGGGGGGAGGTACCAGCTGCTGCAACTCTTCTTGCCTAGGTCTCTGACTTCCATCCAGCGCTGTGTCACTGCCTCCACAGAAGTAGAAGCTGCTGTTTGCAGAATGTGCGCTGGTCAACATCAGAGATGAAAAGCTGCGGTTTGGGTGACTGATGAGAAACTTTTCCTTGTCAAAACCTTGTTCATATATGACATCAGAGCCCATATTAGAGAGTGCCATCAGCACAAAGCTCTGTTTGGGGAACTGTTGGTACCATAACACAGTTGTGGCCTGGATGTCCACAAAGCGACACTCGATCTTCACGGAGGTCCCACTCTTACAGATGGCCCTGCTTGGATGTTGAGAGACATGAGCACCAAGCCCAGAGCCTGCAGAAACACAGGGACAGAGAGGCCAGCAGGACCAGAGTCAGACAGGACCCAGGACACTCAGCCTTTGCCATCACCTTTCCCCCAGCCCCTGGAGAATCCCTGTCTGTCCCCAAGCATCCTCTCAGACTCCCTGGGTCCTAATCCCCCGCCTCCCCTCACTGGTGCCTCACCCTGTACACTTCAGCCAGCCTGGAAGCGCCCTCTCACTTTTAGAAGCACACACACTCCACAATGCCTGGCACACTTCACTCACACCAGCACAGGCACACACATGCCCACTCTCCCAGGCAGGAGAAGGCTCATACTGGGCCCCAGAAGCAGCAGGAGCAGCAGCATCTTCAGCGTTGGCCTCACACCACCTTCTCTGGGGAGGTCTGACCATGTGCCCCCTTCTTCCTCTTCCCAGCCCTGGAGGATGGGCTCCTGAACACAGGGTCCTGGGGTGCTCTCATCTGCCCCCTGGTGGTGGTCCATGACAGTGATACAAGATGCAGCCTTCTCAAATGTGTAGAAGCTGCTCTGGGACCATAAACTCTTGGATGATTTAGCAAGTTTCTTAGATGGAAAAGGAGACATATATTTGAGTAGTAAATGAATTTTACTCAATCCTCAGCTTTTTTATCCTATCTTCAAAATAATGGCACCAAGACATCTCAAGCTGTTAATCACTGCACTTGAGGCCCACACTGCCTTGTGAATCCACAGTGTCAGGGCAGCACCTGGGCAGGAGGTTCAGTGCTTCTCCATAATCAAGTTGAAGGCACTTGTCACCTTCCAACAAGCTCTTCCTCTCATGACAGTTTTCCTCATTTGTCAGTGGATTTGATTCTAAAAAAAAAAAAATACTTATCTTGTACCTTTATGTATAGAAAGGTATGACAGAAATTTATTTATCATCATTTTACTATTATGAAGGTCACATAAGTACAAAATGGATACAAGGTGTTTTAAGGAACTCTTTCTATTTGAACATGCTGGGCTAGGTTTTTTTTATCACTAATCTATATTTATTGATAATGCTGATGCTATTTATTTTTAGTAATATTAATTTTAATTTAATAAGATTAAATAGATCAGGTATTTATATCTTCTCTTATTTAAGAATATTTAAGACAGCGTACAATAAAAGACAGATACAAATAAATAGCTGATACAAAAAAATAAACTTCTAAGTCACATTTATTCCTTTAATCATTAGGCATTTACTTTGTTCACTTTAATTCCAGGGACATAATAATGAAGATGATAGAACTGGTCCCTGCCCTGAAGAACCTGAGAGTCTAATTGGGAAGACTGACAATCATTGGATTTTATGAAGTATGGAAAAATAGGGGATGTGTAGGAAGAGCCAATTGGAGGACATTTGGGCAGAGAAAGTCTCTCTGTTAAGAGCCAGTAATTCTGAACCTGATGCTTATCATATATTTCTAGAGCTTGGGAGCTTAACATGTCATGCAAAATATACAAAATTTAAAATAATTAAATATCATTTAAGATAATAACAGCAGCTAACCAATACAGGCTGGCTATTAATAGCCAATGAGAGCAAGCTGTTATTTTGGTTTTAAGGAACTTGTCACCTTATTTCTCTATATTGACATTAATGTGTGACAAGCATTACAGAACATATTTAGTAATTTTACAAGGAAAAGTAAAAGGATTGTTGAAAAATGAGGAAATGCTGCCATAGTGGCAACAATATAATATTTTGTGTAAGGAAAATTATTTTTTTATGTTGTAAGGATATACAAATTTAACAAATTAAAAGAGGCAAAAATCAATGTAACTGTTAGATCTAAATTAATGAAAATTAGTATATTTGTGTATATAATTCACTTATTTGAATAACAAAGATTTATATTTTAAAAATAATTTGTTTTTTAAAAGTCACACATATCTGAGATTTTGTTCAGAGAGACAGCTTTGGGTATCTTTTTTTTTAATATTTATTTTTCAGCTTTAGGTGGACTCCATGTCTTTATTTTATTTTTATGTGGTGCTGAGGATTGAACCCAGTGCCTCACACATGCCAGGCGAGCGTGCTACCACTTGAGCCATATCCCCAGCCAGCTTTGGGTTTCTTAATGAAATATGTTTAAAAAGTCTAGCAATTACAAACCAACCAAAAGAAAACAAACAAAACAAACAAAAACAGAGCTGAAAGTTTTTTGCCAAGCACCAAACTTTCATTTTGAGAACAGCCTAGTGGTTATAGTTTCACTTAATATTTAGAGAGGGGAGCTTCAAAATGTGGTTTAAGACTTTGAACCATCAAATCATATTTGTGATATAATGATAAATTTTTATTATTAAAATATGTATATTGCGGAGATACATGTGTGACACTGGGTTCGATCCTCAGAACCACATAAAATTAAATAAAGGTATACAAAAAATGTTTAAAAATAACATGACTATTCATTACATCAGTGTTACTGTCTGTGACAAAGGACATTTGCTTAGTCCTGTGACAGCAAGAGGTCCTGTTTGCCTGGGCCTCTTGGAATGGGCCACCTCACCAGGCAACTACTTTGCAGTGTGGCAAGAGGACTCCTTGCTATGCATGGTCTGGCCCTAGCTTTGTGCTTTGTCTAAGAAGAAGCTGGAAGCCACCTGGATCAGAGCCAAGTCTTCCTGCTCATCTTGATAGGCACTCACTGTGGTGTCCTGCTACCTGTCAACCTAGCTAAGCAGGAAATGTGTTTCTGAGAATTCCCTTTGTGGTATGTACGGTTCTGGGTTGGCTTTGAGTTGATCACAGGGAGAAGAAATGCAAAAAGTATGAAGGGAAAATAAAACCCCTGTGTTGTTGTTCTGAAATCATCATTGATTGAAGCTGTGACACGGAGGACCAGAGGTGCTGGGCTGGGTGTGAGGCCCTAGGATTGATTCCCAGCACTGAAAAAAGAAGAGAATAAAGGGTGCCAGTGGTTCCAGTGTGCAGACCTTTCCCCACTCCACACATTGCTGTCCATGCTGACACCAGTCCTGCCCACCAGTGGGACACCCTGCCCCACCAGCCCTCCCTGAGAACTCATGGGACAGTGCGCACAAAGAGCCAGCCTTATTCTATGGATTCCAGCCCCTGCCTCTTTCAAGGTCCACCCAGGGCTTTCATGTACCTAACTCATCCCAGGCTCCATTTCATCCCCCATCACCAGACCTAATTAGAATATTTTTTTCTAACTGGTTTTGACTTTTCCTAATCTAGTTTCACCTCAAGTTGTGTCAGGTCTGATTCCTATGATAAATTTTTTATTCCTTCAAGCTCGTTCAGGTTAATTTTGGAGTCACTACTGACATTGGCATACATAGTATGGATTATTCACGGGCCAGGCCAAACATGTTGTCAATAGCCAGTACGTTGCTAGTACTTATTTTTAGAATATTTCAGTGTGACTTTGTTTCGTAATTTTTTGTTCTTTTTATCCATGTGATGAGTTTTTCTGGATGTCTGGGGAACTGTTCTATCCACGTGACCCATTGGGTAAGCAGAAAGAAGTTAAGAGTCAGGGATCTGAGACCAGGGGGCATCAGTCCAAGAAGAGCCCTCCTAATCCTAATAGGGTTCTACATCTTTGCCCACGACATATCTGCTGCTAGGAATCAAAGGCCATGAAGCCAGGAATTGTGTTCAGAGGGCACAGGTAAAGCCTGATGTATCTCTCTCTCTGCTCTGAGCTGGTACATGCTAAAGATTTGCTTGAGGAAAATGGTAGGTGTAGGAGATGGTAAGCGTCCTCTATGGACAGTCCACTTGGTGGTGCCAGAGCCAACAGGGTTTTGCTCTCTAGTTCTCAGTAGGTAAAGCTCTTCATCCTGTTTTCAAGACCTCAAATCCTCTATAACCTTTTTTTGTTTGTTTGTTTTTCTTTCTCTTTTTAGGCATATAATTTAATCAACCGTCACCTGTGATTCAAAACATGCACTCATTGCTTGTCAAAGCATGGTTATTTACGTAACACTAAACTATGGCCTTTTGAAACACTCCACCCTTGGCACACATACGATCTGCAAGAGAGATGCTAGGTAGTTTCCTTGTCCTGTCTCTTCATGTGTTTACTGGACACATTTTCTTCTAATAAATGGTGCAGATGTGTTTTGCTCACTTTTTATTGGATCATACAGATTTGTTGGCCAGTGTCATTTTTTTGTGTTCTCTTAGGAAATCATCCTTCTATGAATCCCTCTTTCTACCTGGTTGCCTCATGATTTCTCTTGATCTTGAGAGTCCAGCATGTGACAAGATAGTGCTGAACAGTCATGGAGAGCCAGTTGACAAAGGACAGATCATAGAAATGTACAGTAATGTGTAGAATCATCTACAGATCTAGCTGTGGGATTTCACATAGATTCAGCAAGAACATCTGGCCAACATGGAAGAGTAAGGCAAAGATCTAGGTCTTCAATTATTTGATCATTTTATTGCCATTTTTCTAGGTCAAGACAAACAACTCCAACAACCCTCCATACCCAGATTCTTGTCTACATTCCCTGTCCCCAGACTCATGTTCTTGGATGTCTCATTCAGAACAACTGTGGTTCCCCCCAACCCAGGCTCTTCCCACAGGGCCCCAGGAGTCTGTGGGGGGGAGGGCCAGGCTGCTGCAACCCTTCTGGCCTAGGTCTCTGACTTCCACCCAGCGCTGTGTCACTGCCTCCACAGAAGTAGAAGCTGCTGTTTGCAGAATGTGCGCTGGTCACCATCAGAGATGCAAAGGTGAAGTTTGGGTGACTGGTGGGAAACTTTTCCTTATCAAAGCCTTGTTCGTAGGTGCCCTCAGATCCCACATTAGAGGTTGCCATCAGCTGGAAGCTGTTTGGGGAACTGACGGTACCAAAACACAGTTTGGGCCTGGAAGTCCACAAAGCTACACTCGATCTTCACAGAGCTCCCACTCTTACAGATGGCCCTGCTTGGATGTTGAGAGACATGAGCACCAAGCCCAGAGCCTGCAGAAACACAGGGACAGAGAGGCCAGCAGGACCAGAGTCAGACAGGACCCAGGACACTCAGCCTCTGCCATCACCTTCCCCCAGCCCCTGGAGAATCCCTGTCTGTCCCCAAGCATCCTCTCAGACTCCCTGGGTCCTAATCCCCCGCCTCCCCTCACTGGTGCCTCACCCTGTACACTTCAGCCAGCCTGGAGGC